CATTGTTTCATTTAAACTCCAGTTAAACTTCACACTTCCCCATAGGCCTCTAATTCTATATATTTTCCTTCCTTTTATTAAATGCTCCACACTGTCTCTGCTGCAACTTTATTCACTATAGTGAATCAATAGACCTGATTTTTGTTCACTACAGGTTTGTTCCTAGTAGTGTTGGGTTGATTGGGTTTGGACACTGTCTTCCCCAACTTCAGGGTTCCTGGACTACAAATTTTGAAAACAGATATAACACAAAACTATTTCACTGCTAAATACGAATGTACCTATCATGTCAGATAGTCATGCACATGGCTACCATGTCTATTTGGTCACATTAGGGTTGGCTTACACTTCAGAAAGGTTTTAAGAAGAAAAAAAGTCATCCTGGGGCTGGGCAGGGTGCAGCATGCCTGTAATCCCAGTGACTTGGGAAGCTGAGGGAGGAGGATTGCAAGTTGGAGGCTAACCTCAGCAATTTAGCAAGGCCCTAAGCAACTTAGTGAGACCCATATCAAAACAAAAATAAATTAAAAAATAAATAAAAGGGGCTTGGGTTATGATTCAGTGGGTTCAATCCCTGATACCAAAAAATAAAAACACACACAAAAAAGGAAGCCTGGAAAAGGTATGGGAAAAAAGGGGGAATGGAGAGAAGGTGGTTAACAGGATACTGGGATGAGGCTGAATAGGAGGAATAACTTCTCATGTTTTATAATAGTACAGTTGGATAAGTGGGGCAATTATTGGTGTATTTTAAAATCACTAGTAGAGAAGAATGTTCCCAACACAAAGAAATGATAAATGTTTGAGGGAGCAGATATATCAATTATCCTGAATGATTGATTGATTGCGGTACTGGAGATTGAACCCTGTACATGCTAGGCAAGTACTCCACTGGTGAGCTATAACCCCAGCCCTTTATTTCAATTTTATTTTGAGAAAAGGTCTAGCTAAATTGACCAGGCTGGCCTGGAACTTGCAATTCTCCTACCTCAGTCTCCAGAATAACTGAAGCATGCCACAACACACAAAGCTCCCTTATCTGACCTTTACACACCATATACATGTATTAAAATGCCACATTGTGGCATAAATATTTAGTTAATATGTTTTAACTAATATATATATATGTGTATATATGTGTGTGTGTGTGTGTGTGTGTGTGTGTGTGTGTGTGTGTGTGTGTGTATATATATAGAGAGAGAGAGAGAGAAAGAGAGAGAGAGAGAGCGCGAGCGCACCAGGTATGGTGACGCACCCTGTAATCCGAGCAGTTTGGGAGGCTGAGGCAGGAGGCTCGCGAGTTCAAAGCCAGCCTCAGCAATTTAGCGAGACCCTGTCTCTAAATGAAATACAAAACAAGGTCTGAAAATGTGGTTCAGTGGTTGAGCGCCCCTGGATTCACTCCCAAGTACCAAAAAACAAACAAACAAACAAACAAACAAACAAACAAACAAAAAAACCCATAAAACTGTGTGTGTATGTGTAGAGGCTGAGCAGTATGGGCAACTTTGAGACCTTTTCTCAGAAATAAAATCTGAAAAAGGCTGGGGTGTGGCTCAGTGGTAGTAGTACTTGCCTAGCTTGCTAAGACCCTGGGTTCAATTCCTCAACACCGCAAACAAAATTAATAAAAAAGTTAAATCAGGGTTCTGGGTAGCTTTTGGTTCACTTCTTGAAGAGATTAGATTTCTTTCTCTTTGGGCCTTCAGAAAAAACAGGTCTTCATCTCCAGTGACTGAGAAAAATATGAAACACTAAGCTGAAGCTGAGAGAAATACCAGGGTCCATCTGGTTACAGGTAGGCAACCCTGACTACGTAGAGCAGAGAACCTGCGACAAAGCGGGGAATTGGGCGTCTGCTACCCTCCCCACGCGATACCCACCCCTGGATGCCCCATTGCAGGAACCCGAAGAACGGTGGCCACCCTGCCCCGCGCATCCACGGCTCTTGCAACAAACAAGAACAAGGGAGCAGCACAGGGGCCCGGGAGAGGGCTTCCAGGACATTTCCTGTATTAAAAAAAAAAAAAATCGGATGAAAACTCCTAAATCTACCTGCTAAACTCCTAAAACTCCTGAATCTACCTGCCTGAAGACAGCCTGATAGATTCTAAGTGTGCATCACGCCTCGCCTCTAGGTGATTGGTCTTTCGGCAGGGGCGTGGCCCCACAGGTACAGACTGATTGAAGTAGAGAGCTAGTACAGGCTCCATCTTGGCTCCTGGCGTCGCCCTCGAATTGCCCTTCCTCTTTGCTGATTGGAAGAACCAGTTGAATGTGTTGGAAAGGGCGTGGCCCTGCCGGTAGTTAGCGGTCGGTCCAAAGAGCTAAGAGCGAGCCCAGGGCGCCATCTTGGTTCCTGGCGTCACCCTCAGATTGCCCTTCCTGCCGGTGATTGGACGGGAGGGGCGGGTCTTCCGGGAGGCACGTAGCCCGCCAACCAGAATTCTGTGTGTACTGGGTCAGGTCATCTGGTTTCTGACGTCTGTAGCGGCTAAGTTATCTCATTCCTTCCTGCACGCCGGCGGTCTCCTGGTGGATAGACAGGGCTTGCTTGAATAAAATTACCGTGCCATTAAAATGGAGCTTTTAGCCCAGCGCGATGCACACTTTAATACCAGTGGCTCGGGAGGATCCCAAGTTCGAGACCAACCTGGGCAACATAGACCCTGTCTTAAAAAATAAAACGGACTGGGGATGCAGCTCAGTAGTAGAGTTTGTCCAACATGTTCCAAGCCCTAAATTCAATCCCAGACACACACGCACATATGCACACACAGCTTGGAAGAAATCCAAAGCAACCTAATGCTGTTTAGAAAGGGGTCTTGAGGTGGTTCTTCAGAGATGTGCTGCAGTTTTGTTTGTTTTTGGTACCAGGGATTGAACACAGGGGCGTTTAACCACTGAGCCACATTCCAAGTCCTTGTTTTATATTTTATTTAAAGACAGGGTCTTGCTAAATCACTTAGGGCCTTTCTAAATTGCCAAGGCTGGCTTTGAACTCCTGATCCTCCTGCCTCAGCCTCCCAATTCCTGAGATTACAGGCGTTCGCCACCACACCCTGCTTGCAGTTTTGTTTTGTTTTGATTAAAACGCCAGAGAGCGTTTAAGACCTGAGCCACATCCCCAACCCTTTTTATTTTTTATTTGGAGAGAGGGTCTCACCAAGTTTCTTAGGGCTTCCTTAAGTGAATGAAGCTAGGCTGGAAGAACTTGTAATTCTCCTGAGTCTGGGATTTCAGGAGTTTGATAGCACTCCGGGCTGCATTGTGATTCTTAAGGGAAATAGGGGAACACATTCTAGGAAAGGAGGAACTCAAGTGTATGAAAGGCCAGGCCATGTGTTGGGGGGTGGGGGGGGGTGTAGGTATAGTGAAATAGGAGTGCAAGAAGCAGAATGGCCAGATCTGTAGAGAAAAAATAGGAGGGTGTTTTGGGGTGAGATTGTGGAATGTGTGTTTGTTCGAAGAACGAAATCACATGGACACAAGGGTGAGAGCAAATAGGATGTATTAGAGTAATAGAAGAAAACAGAACTCCCCAAGGGGGAGGGATCCCAAGAGAGGGTTGCCAAGGGATGTGTGTTCTCTAGGGGTTTATTTCAATCATGGGGTTGAGAAAGATAGCACCCAACCCTGGGTAAGGCAGTGTGCACAAACTCTTTGTAAACCTTTTGGTCCAGTCAGATTACCATGCCTTTTTTGGAGGGGGTCTGACCACTAGGCAACAGATGTTTCACTATCAGTTTCAGGAATCAGCCTGACCTTGGTGAGGCCTGGCTTTTATTGTCTGTAGTCTTTTAGTCCTGCTATACAGAAACCTGACATTGAAGGGGCCCAAGTTGCCTTTCTTGTGCCTCATTATCATGAAAGACTAAGAAAGGCTCAGCAACTGTTATAAATTTTCTTAATTTGGTATTGACAATTTGAACCCAGAGGTGCTTTAACACTGAGCTACATCCTTAGTGCTTTTATAATTTGAGACAGGGTCTCTCTAAGTTGCTCAGGCTGGCCTTAAACTTGCAGACCTCCTGATTTGGGTGCCACAGTCATGGGTGGTTATAGATGTTGTTTGTTTACTTGGGAGACCAGAGATTGAAGCCATCGGAGCTTAACCCCTGAGCCACATCCTCAGCCCTTCTTATTTTTTGAGACAGGATCTCACTAAACTGCTCCTCACCTAACTTGCTGAGTCCGGCTTTGAATTTGCAATCCTCCTGACCCAGCCTCCAGAACCTCAGGGATTACAGGCATGCACCACGGCACCAGCCCTGTTACTGATAAGAGATCTGCCAACTAAATACAACTTGTAATCCCTCAATTAGATAGGGACCAGGGTTTTTTTTTTCTTTCTTTCCCCATTTGCTCCAAAGGAGCAAGTGGGACTACTGAAAATATGTGAATAAGAGTTGTGTACTAAATTAATTAGTTTCCCGATTTTGAGAATTGTACTTACAATGTAAGAGAATGTCTCTGTTGTTAGGAAATGGATTTAAGAGTGTAGCGGGAAAGGAATATCATGTCTGCAATTCCATCTCAAAACGGTCCAGAATAAAATGACAGAATGAGAAAGCAAACCTAAAATAGTAACATTTGGGGAATCTAGAAATGTAGAAAGGTTTATAGAGATTACTTCTAGTTTGGTAGCATTTCTACTAAACTATTTTAAAATAAAAAGTTAACAAAACTACTGTGATCACTTACGGAGAGAATATGAGAAAATAATGCCCTAGTATTAAACTCTGAGTAACATCAAAGTTTAGACAAAAATCCGAGAGCAGTGAACACTTCGAAGATGTTTTTAAAAATGGGACGCGAACAGTTTTGATGGAAAACATAGCCTTAGTATTCTTCTTTACCCAGAAGATCTAGGAAAGGATAACTTTCCTGCAATTCGCCCATTCATACCACCCAATTCAACTTCATCCCACAAGCCCGTGAAAAATCAGCAGGCAATTAGCCGGAGAAACCTTGTTTTCCAGCGAGCATGCGCACGCACGCAGGTCCCAATCAGTCGGTGCTCACGTCGGCGTCTCTTTACGTCAGGGGCGGGCTCTCTTCTACACATGCGCAAGATCGAACGGGCCTTCTTTCTCGCCCTACGCCGCCAACATGGTGAGTCTCACTGCTGATGGCTCCGTGACTGGCTCCATGCCTCTTGACTTTTTCCTCGGAGGGAATTTTGAGCCCTGGAATGGAACCCAGAGAGTCCTGGGAAACGCTTATTGAGGGTCCCTGGGCGGTCTCTGCGCGGAATTCCGCCAGTTCTGGGCGCGGGGCCGGCGATCGCGCTGAGGGCCCGGCACCCCGGCGCGCCATGGGCCGCCACGCGTGCGTGCCGCCACCCAAAGCAGCATGGCTGAGACCGTCGTAGCTTCCCCAGCCTCTGGGTTCGAGTTGGACTGGGTGCTTTCGTTCTGGGGCGTGCAGGGCCTTTGGGCCTGGAAGCCGGCTTTCCCCCAGCGCCACCCCTGCGGATTTCGTTCATCCAGGTCCTCTCCAGGCACTTGGGCGTGTTCCACTGAGTCGTTCTCTGAATTAGCCATGTAGCCTATAGGCTGGGGGACCTTATAGCAAACCTTAAAATATTCACTGTGTTTTCTCTCCCCCCGCTTTCAGGTTTTCAGGCGTTTTGTGGAGGTTGGCCGGGTGGCCTACGTCTCCTTTGGGCCTCATGCTGGAAAGCTGGTTGCAATTGTAGATGTTATTGATCAGAATAGGGTATGTATAAGAAAAAGTATCCTAATTTTGACTTAACGTGGCAGTGAATGGTACCCACTTTAGATGATACTGTAATTAAGTGACCTGTTGGGAGCTCTTTGGGTGGCAGTGTTATTTTACCATTCAGTATGGGTAGGGGTTTCAAGTGCAGACTTAACTGTTACTTCTGGGTTAGAGTATTGCCTCAGCCATTTAAACGTGCTTTTGGCCAATTCTAGAACAAAACACTGGCTGTGTTTAAGTTATTTGTAAAACAAGTTCAGAACATACTCAGGCGCACAGAAAACACTTTGCACTGTTGTGGTTTAATAATATGTGGGTTGGATGGATCTGAAAAGACAAGTAATTATACAGAATATTTATTCATTTAAATTGCTGTCATGTTTTACACTGAAATCCCTGATCTTTGTATTTTAGGCTTTGGTTGATGGACCTTGCACTCAGGTAAGGAGACAGGCCATGCCTTTCAAATGTATGCAGCTCACTGATTTCATCCTCAAGTTTCCTCACAGGTAAGTAACTATCCACCAATCATCACAATCCCCTCTCCTTAGCTTTGTTTATACTAGTAAAACTGTTCCAGAAGAAAGGTTTATATTATGAAGTAAATAGGCATTATTTACTTTTAAAATGACCTTCTCTTTTCTTCTGGTGTCACAATCACTTTTAGCCTTAAAACAACAGTGTGTCACTCTTGTCTCTTTCAGTACTGTTATCATTAGTTGAATTTTTAATGTGTTGTTAACTAAGTATTTAGCTTTGGGGATTTAAGTTGTTAATTTTGGATACCTGTATAGTGTTCCAGAAAATATTTATATTCTATATTTGCGTCATCTCCTAACATCTGCCACCACTACCTGGAAACAAAAACCCTAATAGGACAGAAACTGTCATATGTTGAATACCTTTAGCTGGGCGTGTGCATTTAGGATGTTTGAGTACTGTTTTTTCTTTAAACTTACCATTCATACAGCCTGGAATGAGTATGTCCATTCTGTTGCTACCGTGATTACACATTATTACATTATTTGAAGAACAGTTAGGGGTGAATCTTGAAGATGCTCATGGAGGATCACAACAATAGAGGAGTTTCTGGTGACTTGGGTTTTTTTTGGGGGGGTACTCTTGTAATTCTTTGATCTCTGAGTGATACATACTGGGTTTATTTTTGGCCACAAGTTGTTGTATGAAGTAAAAACAGGAAATTGATTTCTGCATGTCCACTACTTTAAGTGACATGTCATCAGTGATGATTTTTTAAGTCTAGTAAAATGGATTAGATTACAGTTTTGATAAAATTTTACTTCAGTTTATGTCTTGGCTGTGTGAACACCATTCAGTAGGTAAAACACATTGTTGTGCCGGATGGTATGTATGCCAAGTAAGACTATAGTGTAAAGTGTAATGGAATCCTTCCTAAAGGAAAAAGTTTTGTGACCTAAAAACTTTATTACTTGCTGGGTACACTGGCACATACCTTTAATCCCAGCTGCAAGGGAGGCTGAGGCAAGAGTAGTACAAATTCAAAGCCAGTCAGGGCAGCTTAATGAAACTGTGTCTCAAAACAAAGAGGGCCTTAGGATGTGACTCAGTGCTTGCATCTGTGCAAGGTCCTGTGTTTGATCTACAGTGCCAGAGAAGGCCAATTGGTTAATCTATAGTTTTGCCTCTGTAGTGCCCGTCAGAAGTATGTTCGGCAAGCCTGGCAGAAGGCAGATATCAATACAAAATGGGCAGCCACAAGATGGGCCAAGAAGATTGAAGCCAGAGAAAGGGTAATGACTTTGGGTCGTTTGAATTCTGACTTTATCTCTTTTGAAGGATTTGAAGTAAGATAGTTTTTCTTTTTTTTTTTTTAATAGAAAGCCAAGATGACTGATTTTGATCGTTATAAAGTAATGAAGGCAAAGAAAATGGTAAGTTTTTAAAATCTATGTCCTGTAAGTTTGCTTCTGGATAAGAAAACAGTAACCAATTTCCATTTCAGGCTGATGCCTCTTTGGAGCTTACTGTGAAAAGAGGTTTTGTTATTTGCTTTATTTCATGGTATCCTTAAGAAATTATTCTCTTTATTTGGATTTAGTTGTGGAAAATATGCCCTTTCTAAAAACTAGCATATGTCAGTTTTATGTATGCATATGTAATAAATGTTTTTCTTATGTTGATACTTTTCAGAGGAACAGAATAATCAAGAATGAAGTTAAGAAGCTTCAGAGGGCGGCTATCCTGAAAGCTTCTCCCAAAAAGGCACCTGTTGCTAAGGCTGCAATTGCAGCTGCAGCAGCTGCTGCTGCTGCTGCTAAAGCTAAAATTCCAGCAAAAAAGGTAACTCCAGCAGGCAAGAAGGCTCCAGCCCAAAAGGCTCCTGCTCAGAAAGCCCCAGGCCAGAAGGCAGCGCCGCCTCCAAAAGCTCAGAAGAGTCAGAAAGCCCCAGCCCAGAAAGCACCTGCTCCGAAGACATCTGGCAAGAAAGCATAAGAGGCTATTAAAAAAGGAATAAAGATTCTTTTGACATGTTGGCAAATCTGTTAAAAGTCCTTGGATTTTAAACTTGTTGCTGAGGCAGGGTTAGGAGGTAGATTGATAAACATCAGGCTCAGTTCCTTAAACTGCCCAGGCTAGGTTAAACACAACCATAACTAACTGATCGAATTACAAATCATGATAATTAGAAAGTGACTTTATTTCCTTAAGCAAAAAAAATTTCCCACACGGGTAGAGTTCCAGCCTCCTGATGTACAAGAGACTAAAGTTTTCTTTAAAAAATAGTAATTGATGTCTTTTCATACCCTCTCCCCCAAATTTTGATAATGATTCTAGCTCGGTCCCCCTTTTTTGGAGATAGGGTCTATTTTGCCTTGGCTAATCTTGTCTTGCTGGGCTCAGGTAATCCCCCTGATTCTTAAAGCTGTGTAACTTGGGCAAACCCCTAATCCCCAAAGCCTGTTTCCTATGCTTTGTAGTGGTTAGTAGATAATAGTTGTATAGCCTATTGAGAGGCTTATTAGAGATAAGGTAGTGCTGGTTAGGATAGGTGGGGTTCATGAATTAACAATTGAAAATTTAGAGATTAGAAACTAGCAGGTTGACATGGAAAGAAACCTGGGATGGCATTTTTTGGTTTGAGTTTGCCAAAGCGGGAGAGTAAGTGAAAGAGAAACAGGGAAGTTGAAATTCATTTTGCTAAGTATCTTTGGGTGCATCAGGAAAAGGAGCTAATGAAAGAAGCTCAGTGCCCAAAGTATGGAATGGTGAATCGGGCATTAGCTTTAGGGGAAAGATGTCTTTTACATGAGGATTCTAGAAAGGTTTAGATAATCTCTAGGTTTAAGGGGGATGAGAATACACATTTGCAGGACAGAAGTTAATAATTGCATGTGGAGGAAGTGGGAGAGCACTTCTTTGCAGCATTTTGGGTCCAGCCTATGAGGTGGTCAGGATGAGAATGTTTTAGGGAACAATTGGAAATACAAATCCAAAGGACTTTAGGAAAATGTCTGGGACATAGGGCACCTGAAAAGGGCTAAATAAGAGTTGGACCAAATAATAGATTTGGTGGCAAATGATATATCTTAGCATAACAGTATAATCCAGATTGAATTGGAAATGGGAGGTAGGTTGAGGAAAACACAGGGAAGGTGGCTTGAAGAAAAACTGAAGCTGAGTGGGATGGCACAACCCTATAATCCCAGCTATTCAGGAAATAACTCAAGATCCAGGCCTGCCTGAATAATTTAGTGAACCCCTATCTCAAACTTTAAAATACAAGGACTAGTAGAACACCCCTGGGTTCAATTCCCAGTATTGCCAAAAAAAAAAAAAAAGTACTATTCAGATTTAAATCTTGTTATTACTGAGTGGGGATTGTACTATCTATGAAACTCCTCTAAAAGGGGACCCAATACTTCCCTTATATTGTGGTAAGTATCATATGAAATGCTTGTGAAAATAAGTATAGTGTGTATCCTTAATATCAGGTCTTCACATAAAGGATACTCAATAACAGGTTGAATTGTGTAGCTCTAAAGTAGCTTTATGGACAAAATTTGGATAGTTGGATTTTCAAGGAGCCTCTGCTTCAGTTGCCTCAGATATTCAGATAGTCGGCATGTCCTCTAATTCATGGTATTTTTCCACTCATTTGTTGGGTGAAATACTGTTTAGTATCTAAATTAAAGGCTACACTTAAATCCACCAAGAAGCTGAATTTAATTAATTTTAGTACTGGAGATTGAATCCACGGGAACTTAACCACTAAGCCACATCCCCAGCCCCTTTATATATTTTTTAAAAATATTTCTTTAGTAGTAGACATAATACCTTTATTTGTATTTATGTAGTGCTGAGGATTGAATCTGACACGTCACACACACAAGGCAAATGCTGTACCATCTGAGCTACAACCCCAGACCCTCTACATATTTTATTCCGAGACAGGGTCTCAGTGAGTTGCTTAGGGCCTCACTAAATTGCTGAGGCTGGCTTTGAATTCGAAATCCTCCTCAGCTTTCCAAGCTACTGGGAATTAAAGGCATGTGCAACCATGCCTAGCATACCTGAATTTTAAATCAAGTCATAAATATATTGACATCTTAATAATTAACAGTTTAAAGTAAAGGGCCCCTTGGTCTCCAATTCCAGAACTTTGTAAAGGAAACTATTATGTACATCCTTGCAGATATTTTTCTATGCATTTCTCATGTGTACAAAAATTAGTCACATGATTCCTCACTTTAAGCAATGTTTATGCTGCATATATTCTGTAATTTGTTTCTTTAAAAAAATGCATTATAGTAATCATATCTGGTTGGCATCTATTAAACCTTCTCCAGAGAAACAACCAATGTGGTGAGGTACGAAAAATTTAAAGGTATTGACTTGTGTTACAGAGGCCAAGAAGTTCATGATCTGTAATCCACAAACTAGAAACTAAGAAGTTGGTGCAATTTAGTTTCAATCCAAAGACCTGAGAACTCAGAGCCATTAGTGTAAGTCCCAACCCACTTCTGAAGGTTCAAGAACCAGGAGTTGCTGAGGCTGAGCATAGGAGAAGATGGGTATTTCACTCAGAAGAAAATTCAGGCCCTCAACAGATTTAATAAAACCTACCTACATTGAGAAGGGTGATCTGGGTGATCTTTATAAAGTCTGCTGATTCAGATACAAATCTCTTTCAGAAAAACTCTCACACCCAAAAATGTTTTACCAATGAACTAAATAAGCATCCCTTAGTTGACACACCAAAATTAATGGTCAAATCCCCTATTCGTCCACCTATTTCTTTTTACCTTCATAGTAATCCATAATATGAGTGTTCATTTTTAAAGCAAATTTTATGATACCTATATTATATAACTTTAAAATGCAGAGTATTAATTCATAGTGTTTATTATGGATGTTCATTTGACTCTATTGGTAAACATTTAGAATGTTGCCACCTGGGTATGGTGGCACATACGTATAATCTCAGCTGCTTGGGAAGATAAGGCAGGATGATTGAAAGTTTGAGGATAGCCTGGGCAATTTAGTGAATGACCTGTCTGAAAATTTAAAAAATAAAAATGGCTCAGTAGTAAGGTGACTCTGGCTTCAATCCCCCAGTACTGGTGTTGAGGGGCGGTGGGGTAGGAATGCTGCTAATTGCTTTTTCTCTTTAAATAGTACTTACAGGGCTGGGAATATAACTCAGTCGCTAGAGTGCTTGCCTCACATGCACAATGCCCTGGATTCAATCCCCAGAACCCCCCCCAAAAAAGATTCCCCCTCCCTCCCCCCCCTCTCTCTCTATATATATATACACATACACACATATTAAATATATACTATGCATATATAATATGTATTATATATACTTTGTGTGTGTGTATACACACACACACAATACTTAGGTGAAGTAAATATCCTTGTACCTACCTCCTACACAAAATTACATTTATTTGGGGCACATTTACTAATCAATCAGTGCAGTTGGTAGATTGAACAGTGTGTGTGTTGTTTTTCGTACTGGGAATGAACCTAGCGGTGTTTTATCAGTGAGCTGTACACCTCCAGCCCCCTTTTAATTTTTATTTTGAGATAGTTTCACTAAATTGCCTAGGCCGACTTCAAACTTGTAATCCTCCACCCTCAGCCTCCCAAGTAACTGGGATTGTACCACAGCATCACAGTACACAAATCAGAGTGTAACTGTCATGATATTTGCTTCTTAATACTTTTTTTACTGGGTATGTAATGCATTCTTGTAATCCCAGTGACTCAGGAGGTTGAGGTAGGAGGATTGCAAGTTTGAAGACAGCCTCAGCAACTTAGCAAAACCCTGCCTCGAAGTAAAAATTTAAAAGAATTAGAGATATAGCTCAATTGTGAAGCTTTCCTGGATTCAACACCCATTGCCAAAAACAAACAACAACAAAATAAAACAACATTTTTGTGTGATGTGTGGTGCTAGCGATTGAGTCTCACATGTGCTAAGCAAGTGCTCTACCTGTCAGCCACACTTCCAACTCAACATTTGCTTTTTTTTTTGATACCAGGGATTGAAACCAGAGGCACTTAACCACTGAGCCACATCTCCAGCTCTTTTTTTTTTTTTTTGACACAAGGTCTTGATAACTTGTTTAGTGAACTCGTTGAATTGCTGAGGCTAGCTTTGAACCTGCCATCCTCCTGCCTCACCTCTTCCAAGCCCTTGGGATTACAGGCATGTGCCACCATGCCCAGCAACATTTGTTTCTTGAAATTTGAAATTTTCTTAGTTGCCTACATGGCATACTTAAGTTTAAAGAGAATGTGTGTAATGGGTTGGGGATGTAGCTCAATGGTAAAGTGCTTACCCAGCATATATAAAACCCTGGGTTCAATCCCCAGTACCACCAAACAACAACAACAACAAAATGTATAATGCTGTTTATAGTAATTTCTGTTAATAGTTATTCAAATAGTTATCTTTATTATTGAAATTCTTTGTATTACATTTTTTCCTATTTAATTTTAAAGAATTGTGTTAAAAATCTCTGTACAAATATAGATTTATCAGTTTCTTATATTTCAAATAGTTTTTTGCTTTACATATATTAAAATGTGATGTTGCCAGGCGTGGTGACACATGCCTGTAATCCCAGTAGCTCGGGAGACTAAGGCAGGAGGATCAAGAGTTGAAAGCCTGCCTTAGCAATAGTGAGGCTAAACAACTCAGTGAGACCCTGTGTCTAAATAAAATACAAAATAGGGCTAGGGATGTGGCTCAGTGGTGGTTGAGTGCCCTTGAGTTCAATTTCTGGTACAAAAAAGAAAAAAAAGTGATGTTAGATACATTGAGTTAATTATCACTAGAACTTTTGGTAGATTAGACTGTTTCTCAGTGTGAATATCTCCCTCTTTTAATGTTTTCCTTGAATTCTATTATTTTTTCCAGTTATTCATATTGTCATATTTACTTTCATTTTATTAATAATTATTTAGTCAAGCTTTGAAGAAAATCTAACAGCACCCTTCCTTACTTTCACTCTGGCTTAGGCATTATTAGAAAATGCAGAGTCAAAAAAGAGCATACTACAGGGACACAGCCACATCAATGTTTGTAGCAGCACAATTCACAATAGCTAGAATGTGGGAACCAACCTAGATTCCCTTCAATAGATGAATAGATTTTTAAAATGTGGCATTTATACACAATGGAATATTACTCAGCATTAAAAAATAACAAGATCATGGTATTTGCAGGCGAATGGATGGCATTAGAGCAGATTATGTTAAGTGAAGTTAGCCAATCTCTAAAAAACAAATGCCGAATGTCTTCTCTGATATAAGGGGGGTGACTCAAAATGGGATAGGGAGGAAGAGCATGAGAAGACTACCACTAAATAGGGAAGAGAGGTGGGAGGGAAAAAGAGAGAGAAGGGGAGTTGCACGGAAGATGGAAGGAGAACCTCACTGTTATACAGAATACATTTATGATGTAATGAGAAAAAAAAGTGTCACATTAGATTAGGTAGAGAGAAAGGAGGGGAGGAATAGGTGGTATAGGAAGGGCAGCAGAATAGACAATATGATTGATGTATGTACATTCCATGTATGTATTATATGTCAAAATATATTCTGCTGTCATGTATGACTAAAAAAAAGTAAAAATGAAAAAAAAATGAAAAGACACACACACAAAAAAAAGAAAATGCAGAGTCAGGAACTCTGCCTCAGCCATTTTAGACCAATATCTCATTTACTTTTCACATGAAGCAGGTGAAGTGCCTACCACAGAAGTTCCCCTAAAGGAGCTCTCAGACCACGGAGAGAAAGTAAAGGTGCAACATCAGCAATGCACTGACATCAGAAAAGACTTGAATGATGATTTTCTTGAATCCAAAAGGCTTAGTAACAATACTTGAAACGAATATATTTAAGAAGGATTTTAAAAAGCAGAAGTGTCATGCATCTAAAATCACCCTGGTTGCAATATGGGAAGGAAAGGTTGGAGGGGGCTAGACTGGAGACCATGAAAAGGGAGGAAGGAGGCTGTCTCAGTAATCTAGGTGAGAGAAGAGTAGAGGAAGGAGCCAATGTTAATTCCCAGACCACTAACTTGGCTGGTAGGATGCATGACACTCCCTGCAAAAGTTGAGAAAAGATGATGATCTTAGTGTTGCCGTTTAGGCCCCTGTGGGTTAGGTAAGTAGAAATAAACGGTGGGCCAGTAGACACAGATCTCTAGCTCAGAATTAACTTCATAATGCCTGCCCAATAGGCACCAGCTCCATGATCAAAGTTATATCTAGGCTGGAAAAGTAACGGGAATGTTTTACAGGACAGTGACACTGATACTCAGGAGTAATAATGATGTCAAAAACAAAATAGCACTTGTTTTGATTTAGTTATTAACAGAGTCTTAAGTGTGTTGGATGAGTGAACTCAGTTAATCTGCTGAATTTATGAATTTGAAACTATTACCATTCGAAGTTGAGAAGTAGCTTGAGCAAGTCCATTCTGTTCATAAACAGTAGAGTTAGGGTTTCACCGCAGTCAGACCCCAAACTCCATGATATTAGGTCATACAGGTCAATCAGCCATGAAGTGGGAGACGGGCTGTCAATTCATTAGGTAAATTACTGCTAGCAACCTCTAGAGCCAGAGGCGTTTATTTTTATTCATGGAGGAATTTATCATCTGTTTGGGGATGCTAAGGCATGATTGATGGAAAGTCGGACACATGACTGATGAGAAACGGTCTTGAGCACAGGGCCTGGAGCCTCGCTTGGGCGAACCATGGAGAGAGGACGGCCTCCATCTTCCTAGAGCGGCCGCCGCGGGTCGTGCTTCCGTCTGGGCGGATTCGGCGCTCTGCGGGAGCTTGCGGTGAGCGGCTCTGGTTGCGCAACCTGGTGCCGGTCCTGAAGGTTGCGTGTTTGGGTCTCGCAGACGCCCCGCGAGGGGCCCATGAGGCCGCCCGAACCCTGGCCAGCCCCTGTTGTCGAGGCACGACTGACCTTCCTGCCCCGAGAGCTTGTCCTCTGGCTCGAGGTACGCTGGGTGGGCGCCCGCGACCCACATCTGGGTCCCCTTCCTCCCGGGTGGAGCGTTCTGATCGCGGTTGGTTCTGTGGTCACCATCTCCAGTGGGACAGTGAGCGTCTTACCCATTTCACCTGAGGTTAGTTCGCCACTTGAATTTTGCGCTGCAAACCGTTGTTGATTCAGGGATCCCTTCTCTCCAAAGGCTGTTGAGTCTTTGCCTTGATTCCTACAGGTGTTTCTTACAAAATACTCAGCAATGCATTCATGGTGGGGCCACGGGTTTTCTTAAAAGCCACGAAACCACTGCAGTTCTTTTTTGTTTCTCCATATATATTTTTTAATTGGAGCAACATAATTATGCAAAATGGTGGGATTCGTTGTTACCTGCTGCAGTTCTTAACCCTTGCTGCACAGACATTCATTTTAGGAATTTCCAGCATCGCCAGACACATTTATTAGAGAATGTATAAAGGGGGGCATTTGCAGCACTTCAGGAATTGGTGGAGAGGATGGTGGAGAATAGTGTCCTAAGGATATCTGGTTCCGTTATAGGAGACAGAGCAAGTGTGGGAAATAAGACAGCTCATTCTCAATGTGTTTTTTTTTTTTTTTTTTTTCTCTAGCTCTGCAGGTTTTCCAAGACTAGAGGGCAGTGCATGAAGCCAGACATGCTCCAGACAGTGTGGTCCCAGGTGAGCTGAGCTTTATTTTAGCATACTCAGAGGCAGGAAAGGTCAGGAAAGGCCCGGCAGCCTCATTTGATCAGTCCTGTGCTTAGCATTGCCTCCATCAGAGTGTGGCAAAGGAGTATGCTAGGGAGTTGATTAAAGAATATGTTGGCTGGGAAAGAAGAAAGCCCAGCCAAGAAATTCTCCTAGAAAGTGAAATCTACTTGGTGAAAACTCAAAAGTGTGGTCCATGGATGAGAGTTTTGATATCACCAGGAAGCTTGTTGGGAAAGGCCGGATTTCAGGCCAGTTCTCCTGAATTAGAAACCATGGACAACTTAGGGGCTGGTTAAAATGTGAGGAATGCTAGTCTTCATCACAGTACCCAAAGGACATGTACTTCCTCAAGGAGAGTTTACCCTGCATGCTGCCTGCGTAGGATATAATGATACCAAATGCCAATTTGGAAGGTTTGGTTCTTGTGGGTACTGTGCTCTGGGGGAATGCTGAATTTGTAGCTGAAGCAGCTCAGTGCAAAGATGTCAGCTTAACCTTTGTGAGAGCCTATAGCCCTTGTTGGCACAGATTCAGGTAGCATAGGGAGCAGTTGTCCCCTCCCCCAATCTTGATGGTAGAGGATGAGTTTACTGATTTTTTTTTTCCATTGTCCTGTGTCATATGCTGAGAAAGCTATGTATATCATGTAATGGATAGATCATGTAATAAGAAAACTCCATACTCAGAGACTTAAAAGCAAGCAATGGTGGCTTCTTTTGTGAACATTGGTCCATCCAAATCTGTTTGAGCCCTTCAACCAGAATTAGTTCTTGCAAGTCAGGAAAACATTTGTAGGGGCAGTCTGTTCTTTCTTGGCACCTTGCTTGCCTATTTTCTCAGGATTAGTTTCCACTCAGAGCAACAATGGCTTAAACAAGTTTGGGAGAGTCAGTCCAGGGCAACTACACAGTTATGCACACAGGCTCTTTCATTCTGCGCTACTATCCTAGCACTGGTTCTCATGCTTTAGGCCACCTTATGATCCAGAGTTGCTGCTTGGTCTCAGGCAATTATGTGGGTATTCTAGCTAGATGTAGAGATAACAAAAGAGGTGAACCTTTCAGCTGAGTTTGCATCCTTCTAGGACCTTCCAAGAAGTCTCTGATAGTATTTACATTTGGGTTTCATTGATCTCACTTAGTTGCCTGGGTTGGGTGCAACCTCAGGTGAAATTAGGTTCTGTTACTAAAGAAGAAAGGAAGTACATGCATATCAATATACCTGTTAGTCACTGCTAAAGTCTCTGTGAGGAATATTTTTCTAGAAGATTCTGGAATCTTCTAGAAGCTTTCCTCAGTTTCATATATGGTTGTAGTAAGTATTGAGATTTATATGACATTGTGTGCCAGGTGAATTTTTAGTGCTTATCTATATTAACTCATTCTATCCTACAAAAGCCCTATAAAATAGTATTGGTATTCTAGTTTTAAAATGATGGAGCTGAGGCACAGAGAGGTTTAGTATTCTATCCAGTATCAGGGATGGGATTTGAGCCTCAGGTGTCTAGCAGGGATTTTTCAACCTTGGCTCTATTTACATTTTATCTACAGATAATTATTTGTTTGGGGAGATTCCCTATGCATAATTCAGCAGCATCCTTGGCCACTGTCCACTAGGTGCCAGTAGCACCACCACCACCATCATGCTGCAGCTGTGATGACTAAAAATATATCCAGGCATTGTCACCTTTCTCTTGGGGGAGGAGAGCAAAATTGTCCCTGTGTTGAGACAAGGCTCTCAAGTCTGCTGTTTGCTACTACACTGTGCTGCCTCTGTAACCTGTTTCTCACACACGAGAATCACAGCTCCACTACATAAAGGAGGTAGTAAGTGCTGGCAGAGAACAGAAGCAGTGTGATCACAGGTGCACTTCATGCAGCAGGATGTTGAGAAGCTTAGTGTTGCAGAAAACAAGAAACCAAAGAGTGCATGGATAATTACAGAGGTGTGGAGGGGTAGAGCATAGTGTGGAGGAAAGAAGGTAAGGTCTATGTTTCCAGCTCTTTTCTCTCTCTCTCTCTCTCTCTCTCTCTCCTTTTTTTTTGTACTAGAGATTTAACCCAGGGGACTTTATCACTGAGCTACATCTCTAGATCTTTTTATTTCTTATTTTGAGACAGGGTCTCACAAAGTTGCTGAGGCTGGTCTTGAATTTGCAATTCTCCTGCCTCAGTCTCCTTAGCTTCCTCTGCCTATTTAAAATTAAAGTCAATTAAAACTAAAAGTTCAGTTTCTTATTCATACTAGTTATATTCACATTTTTATGTGCAAGAGACTATACATTTCTTCACATATAGTTATGATTTTTCCCTTGCAACAAGGAGTTTATGGGGAGGTATTTAAGATCATGCCAATATCCTACTCTTTGTTGAACTTTCCCCTGAGATTCAGCATCATTGATGTTTTTTGTCAGGACTAATTTTCACAACAAGGACTACAAATCTAGTACTTCTCTAGTTGTATTTCTTTTACTTGGAAGAGACTACTACACAAATAAAAAGTAGCTTCTCATTTTTTTTATTTTTTTTTTTGGTACTAGGGATTTAACTCAGGGGTATTTTACCACTGACCCACATCCCCAGCCCTTATTATTCTTTATTTTGAGACAGGGTCTCACTGAGTTGCTTAGGGCCTCACTAAGTTGCCGAGCTGGTCTCAAACTTGTGATCCTCCTGCCTCAGCCCTTGAGTCGTTGGGATTGCAGGCGTGCACCACTATGCACAGTGAAGAGAGGGTCATTCATGATGATGAACTGGAATGGTGTAGTGGATAATTTATATGTAAGTGGTCAGTTCATTTTAAAATTTTTATTTTCTTATATAGCCTTGTAATAAGTACTCAGATGAAGAGGACTCCCTTTTGTCTATCTCAAAGTGTTTAATATTGATGATTCCCTTTAGAATAATAATTCTTGCTTCATAAATTATTGTATGTTGAACAGATTGAGGTAAAAAAAATAACTAACACTGAACCCTAACCCTGTGATGGTTTCCTTCTTCCTTAAGAAATTGTAGGTGGCTTTGCAGAGGCAAAGGGAGATAGATCTGGTGAAGAGGACGGTAGGTTGGACAGAGCTTAGGTGATCAGGGGGTGATCTGTGAACAAGGATTGGGACATGGCCATCCTGTCCCTGGGGTCAAGTGTGTTAGGAGAGGAGGAGACACTGAATGTTGTCTTCAAAGGAGAACCAGCTTTCTGGTAAGGCAAGATGGTAGAAAGAGGGAGAAATTGTTGAATGAAAGGAACTCTATCCCCATGAACTCATTTCTCTGTCCTTAGTAGAAGCTGTGGAGGAAAAAGATAAGAGGAGCTGAGCCAAGATCCCTGATGGGTGCTTCAAGATGAATGAACACAGGGTGAAAGACAGATACCTGCTGTGGTCAATTTAGGAAAAATGCCAGAAAAATATATTTGGCTTATAGAAGCAGAGATAGGTTGACGTGATCACCAGGGAGAGAAGAGCAGGTGCTGGGCTGGGTGCTTAGGCTGACAATATTGGGCCCACAGAGATGTGTATATGAAAAGTGGGAATTCTGCCTGAAGGCTGCCCCTGCTTAGAGTGCTATGTGTTTCTCATTATTGTAAACTTTTCACAGGGCTCAGAACTATGGGTTGCAGTAGATTCACCCCTTCCCTGCCTCCTTCTGCGCTTATACAGGACTTGAGCAGGAAACTGTTGTTTTAGGAGGCAGTGACCTTTGAGGATGTGGCTGTGTACTTCACCCAGAATCAGTGGGCCAGTCTGGAGCCTGCGCAGAAGGCTCTGTACCAGGAGGTGATGTTGGAAAATTATGCGAACATAACTTCTTTGGGTAAGTCCTCTTCCTCTGAAACTTAGCTTCTGCCTTTGGGGCTCCTAGATTCTCCCTTAGCAGATCTGGGATCTTTAATATCACCAGGATTAATGACCCATGAGCTGAGCTCCCTAATTCCCAGTTTCAGGAGTAGCTGAATGGAGAAAGATCTGGATTCACTTTGGTTTTTAACAGGACTTCCCTGTTGGCTGGTTCCTGGTGGGGACTGTACTGTGAGGGGTTTGCTCTGGGAGCAGAGAGAACTGAGAAGGTTCCTGGTGCCCCACCTTCATTCCTCCAGTCTTCCTGTTCCCTGGAGGAGACCCCGGCCCATCTACTGTGTGTGAGTCTCCTAGGACCCCAGGTATACACTTCCAGTGACTGTGGGTACTTCCTGTTCTCTCAGAGGCTAGAATAAGCTTTGAGCCCTTCCTTAGATCCCCAGATTCTCTCCTCATGAACCTCACTTGGTCTCCTGAGCATCTGCCTCTTTGTTCACCTGGCAAAGCAGAGGGTAGACTGAGGGAGGTTGGTGGTGACTCTCTCAGCTTCCTATTCCTTTTCTTTCTCCTTTAGCAGCATTACCATTCCCTAAACCAGATCTGATATTCCAGCTGGAGCTGGGGGAAGCCCCATGGGTCCCAGATTCATGGAGACCTGTTGGGGAAGAGGCCCTTGGAGGCAGGTGCACAGGTGAGCAGGAGAACAGACCATCTTCTTTTCCAGCTTTGATTTTGTGTGTCTGTCTGTTTCTCTTTCTCTTTTTGTTTTTGCAGTAGTTGGGATTGAACCCGGTGAATTGTATCCCTAACCCTTTTTATTTTTTGACTTTGAGACAGGGTCTCCCTAAGTTGCCCAGGCTGGCCTCAAACTTGGGATTTTCCTGCCCCATCCTACTGAGTATCTGGGAATATAGACATGTGCCACTGCACCCAGCTACTTCTCTTTTAATATTTTAACATGAGATGAAAAAGGTATTTCTTCGGAACCATGGCTGTTGTGGGATGAAAATAGTCATGCTTCAGCTCCAGACTAGAAGACAGCAGTCCAGATGTTCCATTGTCTCTCCTTTTTCTTCAGAAAGTGAAAGGATTGCAACATTTTATCTTTTTTTAATTTTTAAATTTTTTTGTAGTGCTGGGGATTGAACCCAGGGCCTTGTGCTTGTGAGGCAAGCACTCTACCAACTGAGCTATACCCCCAGCCCAACAAACATTTTAAAACTAGTATTTATTTAATTTTAATTTTGTTTTCCAGTACTGGGAATTGTATTCTGAGGTATTTTACCTCTGGGCTACGTCCCCATCCCTATTTATTTTTTATTTTGAGACAGAGTCTCACTGAGTTTCTGAGGGCCTTGCCAAGGTGCTGAACTTGTGATCCTCCTATCTCAGTCTCCTGAGTCATTGGGATTACACATATGTGCCACTTTACCTAGTTACTTTTACTTTTGAGACAGTGTCTTACTAAGTTGCCGAGGTTGGCCCTGAACTTGGAATCCTCCTGCCTCAGTCTTCTTAGTCACTAGAATTATAGATGTGTGCCACCATGCCTGGTTTATTTTTATTTTTTTTAATTAGTGCATCATAATTATACATAATAGTGGGATTAATTTTGCTATATTTGAATGTGCATATAACATAATTCATTCAGTCTCTTATTCTCCACATTTCAAACTCTGTTAGTGAAATAGGCTTCTGTTCATCAGTTTAGGAACATAAACACGATATAGTTAAGAACTTTGTTTTCATTTATTTGTTTGTTTATTTTATTTATTTTTTCCTGTATTGGGGATTAAACTCAGGGCCTTGTATATGCTAGGCATGTGCTGTACCACTGAGCTACATTCCGAACCCTAGAACTGAGTTTTTATAAGAACTCTTTGTATGTATATTTATGTGAAACTGTACATGAAGATGGAGTCATTCTGATTTTCTCATTTAATAATAAATAATTAGCCTTTGAAAGAACTCTTGTGTATGAAAAAAATATATTTATATATGGAATGAATGGTTTCCTTTTCTGAAATATATTGAATTGAATAGATATAAAAACCCATCCAGAGATTTGGTAGATAACCTGTCTAATTCAATTGCCTTGTTCTTATACTCTCAATCCTTTGTTCCTTTCTGAGCCTTTGTACCCCGAGTGCTGCTTTCCATTCCCCTACTTCTGTCCTAACACATGAGTCACCTTGGGGTCATCTTGAGAGAGAACCTTTCCTGGCAGCCTTCCCATGGTATCAGTGTTTCCCTTTTCCATAGCCATCAAAAGCTTTCACCAGCATTGTCCAGTAGAACAATGGAAATATTATAGATCTATACTGTCCAATATGAGAGCTGTTAGCTCCTTGAACACTTGAAGTGTGGCTAATATAACTGAGGAACAGTTTTCAATTTTATTCCACTTACATTAAATTTTAATAGCCATTTAAGGACTATGGCCACCCTACTGGACAATACAGTATTAAATTCTTAGAAGTTTCAGTGCTTTTTTTTTAGTGACTATATCAGTAGGTTTCGAATTCTGGTGTGCATTAGGATTACTTGGAGGGCTTGTTAAAATACAGATTGCTAACATTATCTCCAGAGATTCTGATTCAGTAGACTAGGGCAGGGCCTGAGAATTTGCATTTCTCACAAGTTCCCAGGTGCTACAGGTCCAGGGAACATAGGAACCATTGTGTGGTCATCAAAGAGTATAAGCAGCATTTAAAAATTAGAATAGGGCAGGCATGGTAGTGCCCACCTGTAATCCCAGCAACTTGGGAGGTTGAGGCAGGAGGACCACAAGTTCAGGGCCAGCCTCAGCAATTAACAAGGCCCTAAACAAGTTAACAAACCCTGTGTCAAAATAAAAAAAAGGGGCGGGGGCTGGAGATATGGCTCAGTGGTTAAGTGCTCCTGAGTTCAATCCCTGGTACCAAAAAAAAAAGAATAGGCTAATACAGGATACTGAGGCTAAACGAGTGCAAGTTTGAGGATAGCCTCAGCATTCTAGCAAGATCTTAAGCACCTAAGCAACTTAGGGAGACCCTATCTCAGAAGAAAAAACAAAAGGGGGCTTGGATGTGACTCTGGTTAAGCACCCCTGAGTTCAATCCCCAGTACCCCATCCCAAAATAATATGTAAATAAAATAGACCAAAATAGTATAAAATCTGTTGTGAAGGCATCGATGTGGTTTTTTTTTTCTTTTTTCTTTTTTTGATGATGGTGCTGGGGGTGGAATCCATTTGCATCACTCTCATTAAGGAGGTTGTTTGGTGAAACTTTTGACCCTCTTTCAAGTGTGTGTACTGGATTAGGATCTGAGCTATGAATTGGTGACCAGGGGTCTAGAAACACTAAGCTGTGTTACATTTTGGTGCTTGTAAAGGCAAAAATGGCTTCTATGTTGTAGTGCCTGCAATGAAAGGTGAGCCTCCATCCCAGCCAGGTTGCTATCTACTGTCTGTGCTGAGTTCATTTTTTTTTAATATTTATTTTTTAATTGAAATTGGACACAATATCTTTATTTTATTTATTTATTCTTATGTAGTGCTGAGGATGGAACCCAGGGCCTTGCTAGGTGAGTTAGGTGAGCGCTCTATTTCTGAGCCACAACCCCAACCCCATGTACTAAGTTTTTAGCCAAGCCTATTATTTCCTCTCAGAAGTCTGTCTCCCAGAGGACACATGGGTTTTAAATAGTGATTGTCTAATGAATTCTTCATAACCAGTGATGTTACACATTGTTTCTTTTCCTCTCCATTCAGGCTTGTGATAAAGAATATCTCATTTAAAATGATAGAGGATTGGACACAGTGATACATGCCTGTAATCCTAACAACTCAAGAGGCTGAGGCAGAAGGATCACAAGTTTGAGGCCAGTCTCAGCAACTTAGTGAGGCCCTAAGCAACTTAGTAAGACCTTGTCTCAAAAAATAAAAAGGGCTGAGGATGGAGCTAAGTGGTTAAGTGCCCCTGAGTTCAATCCCTAGAAACCCTCCCACCAAAAGAATAATAAGAAGAAAAAAAGATAGAGGGTTGGAGATGTAGCTCAGTGATAGAGTGTATTCTTAGCATATGCTAGGTCCTGGGTTTGATCCCCAGAACCACACATACACTCAAAGACAAAGTACTTGCACAGATTTCATGCCTTGACTGACCTTGGGATCTGCTATTGTAGACAGCATCTCTAGTTCTCTGGATACTGTGTGGTGCTGGAACTGCGTACCCACCTCTCTTTTCCAGTTTAGAGGTCTCTTTCTGCACCTTGCTTCTCTTTATTGCTTTCCCTTCCTGTGACTTCTACATCCCATTCTAGTATTTCTTTATCCATTTGTCTCCATTCATAGCTTTTCCATCCATCCCATTATTGTTGTCCTTAGGGCATGACTATCTTCCCCACCTCCAGGGCTTTTCCTTTCTATTTGGGGCACCATTGAATGTCTGTCTCTCTCCAAGAATACATGTCCCCAGGGCAAGCTAATGCTGCTTAATCCCTTTCCTTTTCTAGCATAAATAATAAGAGATTTTTATGGGTTTTTTTGTTATGGTAGGTGGTAAGACCAAGTCTGAGGAGGAGGAGCCAACTCCAAGGCTGAACAGGACTACAGAGTCAGAGTCCCATGGACCCACAGAGGAGGGGTTACCGATGGAGGTTCCCCAAAGCAGGTTAGAGAAGCCACAGCCATGTGACATAGGGAAGAAAACAAACTCAGAGAAAGGAGATCCCATAGATTTGACAGTTCCGGATCATAAGTCTTCCACCATCAAAAGGAAGGAGACAGCCAGGAAACTGCAAGGAAGCAAGAGTGTTGTTTCAAAGCAGGGCCTTTCTAGGAAACAGGTGTTTCAAAAGTGTGACGAGTACAGCAAATACTTTAACCCAGACTCAGACCCTCACCAGCATCAGAAAACTCACACTGATGAGAAGTCCTTCAAATGCAAAGAATGTGGGAAAGCCTTCAGATACAACTCAAAACTGTCACGGCATATGAAAATCCACACTGGGGAGAAACCATATGCATGTGAGCAATGTGGACATGCCTTCAGTCAAAATTCCCACCTTCTTCAGCATCAAAAACTCCATGGTGGAGAGAAGCCCTATGAATGTGGGGACTGTGGGAAGACATTCAGCTACAACTCAAAATTGATCCGGCATCAGAGAATCCACACTGGGGATAAGCCTTTTAAGTGTAAGGAGTGTGGGAAAGCCTTCAGAGGTAGCTATGACTGCATCATCCATGAGCGAGTCCACACAGGGGAGAAGCCCTATGAATGTAAAGAGTGTGGGAAAGGTTTCAGTTCTAATTCAGTTCTGATACAGCACCAGAGAATCCACACTGGGGAGAAGCCTTATGAATGTACAGAGTGTGGCAAGGCCTTCCGCCGCAGGTCAGTGTACCTGCAGCACCAGAGGTTCCACACGGGGGAGAAACTGTACAAATGCAATGAATGTTGGAAAACTTTTACTTGCAGCTCTCGCTTCATAGTGCATCAGAGAATCCACACTGGGGAGAGACCTTACAAGTGCCAGGAATGTTCAAAGGCCTTCAATCAGAAGGTTACCCTGGTTCAGCATCAGCGAGTCCACACTGGGGAGAAGCCTTATGAGTGTAAGGAGTGTGGGAAGGCCTTCAAATGGAGCGCAAGTTTTCTTCAGCATCGAAAGTTGCATACCAGGAAGAAACCTGCTCAAGATCCAGGGCCTTCCACGATAGAGCCCCAGGGTCCTTCAGGCCTCTCCCCTTCTTCTCCCCAGCGGGCCTGCTCTGCCTCATCCCAGCCAGGGCCATCCTCTGCACCTCTTTCGCCACTCCCCTCATCTGAAATGGCCAGCTCTTCACCTGCACAAGTAGAACACTCCTTTCAGGATCTTGCTTCTCCTAAAAGGTCATCCTCTCATAGCCTGCATCCCTTGTCTCACTCCCCGTGAATTTCTCATGTTCTCCATTCCGGTCGCACTTTGAGTTATCAGGGTTTCTACTGGATCGCTGGCCATGCCTTTATCTATACTCTTATGATCTTATGGAAGACATTATTGTTTTCCCAACTCTATTTTAAGTAGTCACACTTAAGAACTGTGTTTGATCACTCTCTTTTAGCCCCTGGGTAGGAAATGGCAGTATTTGTCCTTGAAATTTATAGCATCCAGTTTTGGCCTCTTTCATCACTCTGGCCCTGGGATTACTGGAGTTGAAAGAGTTTGCAGAACATTTTGGGCTTCAAGGAATGTGTGAGTTGGGCCAATGTACTTAGAAATATAGGGGGAATTGTAAAGCCCACCGGAGGAAGTAATCAGAGAAAGTATCCAGTGATTGCCTTCAGGATTTAGGGAGGGACATTTGGTGGGCCAGTGGCAAAGATCACTGGGGAGAGAATCTGAGCCTTGGAAGTTTTTAATTGACTTGGTCGTGATGATTAGAAGGATCCTGTGTAACTGTGCAATAGACCAAGAAAATAATCATGGAAAGAACTTGAAGGGATGAGAGTAATAATGTAAAATTAAGTCTTTAAACTTGATTAGGAGGGAATTTGATTTTTCTATTTGAGTTCCTTTCCTATTCCTGACTATATCTTTGTTTAATTTCAGTGCCCACTCAAATATGTAGGCACAGAAAGTAACTTGGGCTTATGTAATATAGAGGAGGTACCTGAGCAAAGTGATCCCCTGGAGTGGATGGAATAAAATAAGGCAAGGAAAGAAACCCAGCCAAGGCTGGTTACAGTTCTGGCCTCTAGAGGGAGCCCGTTCCTGATCAGTTACTATACAGTCACCTACTTCAGATTCCCCTATTAAATCAGTTTGTGATTGGTGGTACTTGTAAATGAATTTTCTAATGAACTACTGTGGAAACACTGAGAAGTGTTTTAAGTATGCTGATCTTTGCAAATGTTATGATCTCACTGGTTTGGCTATATTTTCCATCTAGTGACCAGAGGCTCTGACCCTTCTTAGAATCACTGCTTCAGGACAATTGTAACCCATGGAAAGGTACTTTTAAAAAATTAAGCGGGAATACAGTATTAAGAAGGTAATGTGTATACTATTGTATTGATACCACAAAAATTATATCTCTAAGGTAGGGTAAAGAGAGATGTTGGTTGGGTTTTAGCTTTGGTCAAGTTTATTGAGATGCATTTTTATACAGTAAAAGCCACCCTATTACTGTGTATAATTTGGTGAGTTTTGACACATGAATATGGTTTTGTAACTAAGATATAGAAAATATCTATCATCCCAAAAAGTTCCCTTGGCTCAGGGAGAATTTTATTTATTCATTATTTATTTATCTATTTATTAACTTTTAACTTTATTTTTTTTTTCAGTGCTGGTGATCAAGTCAGGGAGAAGTTTAAATTGTTGGTAAGATGTTGGGGACTTTTATTTATTTTCATTTCTTCACAAGATTTGTGCAATACTTAGAATTTAGGAGGAGAAAAGCAAAAACCAAATTCATTTTCCAAGCTGTGGGCGGAGCTTCTGGAATATGAAAGAGCTTGGAATCACTGCCAAGAAAAGCAGTCAAAATGTAGGAATATGGGTTGGGGCTGTAGCTCAGTGGTAAAGCATGTGTGAGACACTGAGTCCAATCCTCAGCACCACATAAACAATAAAGAAAAAAAGGTATTGTGTCCATCTATAACTAAAATTTTTTTAAATGTAGGAATATAACAAAAAGTAAGAATACAACTGGTTTCTTTGACATATTTTGGACATAAGACGCTTATACAAAGTTTTTGACCTAATCACCAAAGCATTATTAAACAGCAAGGGCCGTAGGGCTTCTAGGAGGGTTATAGCAGGCAAGGAAGTTCAGGGCAAGAGGCTTCTCAGCTGGCCAGTCTTCAAGTAGGAGAGACTTCTATGAATGGTCTGGAGGACAGCAGATTATAACATTCGAAGAAAGCGAGGACTGAAGGGAAAATAGATGTTCCTTGACTTACAATAAGATTGCATCCAATAAGCCCTTTAAGTTGAAAATATTGTGATTCAAAAATGCATTGAATATACCTAATCTGCTGACCTTTAATAGTACAGCCTAGTTGAACTTGAATGTGCTCCAGAACACTTACATTAGCCAACAGTTGGGCAAAATCATCTAATACAAAGCCCACTTTTGAATATATCATATGAGTTCTTGAATATAGTACCCTGTGGAGTATTGGTTGTTGGCCTTGTGATGGAGTGGAGCTGCAGCTTGTTGCCAGGGTCCAGCATTGAGAGAGAGTATCAGACTGCATATTGCCAGCCTGGGAAAAGATCAAAACTTCAAGTACGGTTTCTGCTAAGTGTTTATCACTTTCCTATCATCCTAAACTTAGAAAATTATAGGTTGTCTATAAATGGATTCTTTTCCAGTCCTTTGGAAAGAGATTTATGGATTTCTGACTAGCAAATTTTATTTTTCAGTTATTTGTTCCTTCATTCAACAGAAACTTAGAATTGTCCCCCACTCCTTGAATTGTTACACAAATGTTATTGTAAACTTCCATAGCACTTACACTACTACTGAAGATAGATGAATGATATGTCATTCTTTATAGTGCAGGGATGATTGTTGCCAGGTTATCTGGCACCTAATACATACTCAGGTGGTTTTTGACAAGGACCATGAGTAACTCTTGTTACTATAATCGAAGGTTCTGCTGCTTGCTGCTCAACAAAAACTTAGGAGACAGAAGTTGGTGAAAGAAAACAGGTTTATTCAAAGGTGGCCCTAAAGAAAATAGAGACTTTTTCTGCCTCAACTCTTTATCTTTGGGGGGGCTCAGGGATGTAAAACTCTTTTATGAGAAAAAGGGATACAGTGGGACCAAAGACAGGAAATACACGCATGTGGGCGTGTACACACACACACACACACACACACACACACACACACAGACTTAAGACTAGGTTGTCCTAGACAGAGAAATATATTACAATTCCAGTTTCCTTAGTACTTGGCCTGACTGATGGGTAGCTTCTCAGTTTCCATTCTCAGCATGAGGAAACTAAGGTTAAAACAGCTTTTACCAGGAATGGAGGGACAAAAATCAGTTTGGGGTTTTTTAATGTCAAAGGGGCTCTGTTACACGCCTAGTGGGGACAACCATCTAAAAATGAACTTGTGCATCACTTAATTTCCAACAATGGTATTCCCTTAAGAAGTTTCTATGTTCTCTGAAAGTGAAATGTTATATTTAAACATACCAACTCCCCTCCCCCTGTGAAATTGTGATACAATAAGAAATATATCTATATACATATCTAGTTATCTCTGTGTGTGTGTGTGTGTATGTATACATACACACACACACACACATACTTCATATATATGAGTCTTGAGTTCCTGGCACAGTACTTCTAAACCCCTTGTAATTTCCAGTGTGATAAGTGTCTTGTATTTGGTCTTAGTCCTGATACTAGGGCATCCAAGACCCTTGGAATCTCCAGAGTAATAAGTGTCCTTTTTGTATGCTAATGGAATGACTGGTGATTGAGGGCCCCTAAATAGCTTAAGGATAGGGGCTGGTTATCAGAAAGATCAATGTGTGAAAATCTGAAAATTTCAGCCTCAGTCCCAACCTATAGGAAGGGGAGAAGGGCTGGAGATTAAGTTAATCACTAGTAGCTAATGATTCAATCAGTTGTGCCTACATAATGAAGCTCCCATAAAATCCCTAAATTAGGGAGTTGGGAGAGTTTTCAGGTTGGTAGATACATTGAGGTGCTGGGAAGGGAGTGCACCCGGAGAGAGCATGACAGTTCTGTGCCCCTTCTCCCATGCCTTGCCCTGTGTGTCTCTTATATTTGACTATTCCTGAGTTGTATCTGCTTAATAAAACTAATAATAGCAAGTAAAATGCCTTCCTGTGAGTTTTGTGAGTCATTCTAACAAATTATCAAACCTGAGGAGTGGGTTGTGGGAACCTATGAGTTAAAACTGGTCAATTGGAAGTACAGATGGCCTAGGACATACATTTGGCATCTATACTGGGAGGAGTCTTGTGAACTGAGCCCTTGATCTGTAGGGTCTGACACTAACTCTGGGTAGTTAGTGCCAGAATTGAATTGTTAGGACACTACTTAGTGTCCAAAGAGTTGGAGAATTGTGTACCCACACATTTGGTGTTAGAAGTTAAGTAAAAATATTTCCTACCCTCTCTACTTACTAGTTTTGAGATTTGCATAAAGACTGTCCCCTTGCCTTTAGGCAAGGTATATGGGTGTCATTACCTGAGTTTAATTTGGAGACTTGCTTTTATCAGTGACTTAGCTAAATATATTATTTAGGACTCTTTAAATAAAAACAGGAGACATCTCCTTGAATTAAATACATTTAACCTATTGTGAGGATTCCTGCATGCATCCTGAAACTCCAGGGTAAGAATGCAAGAAGGAGCCAGGTATGGTGGTACATGCCTGTAATCCTCTAGGATCAAGAGCTGAGACAAGAGGATTATGAAGTTAAAGACCAGCATCAGCACCTTAGCTAAACCCCAGCAACTTAGAACCTATCTCGATAATAAAAAAAGACTGCGGATGTAACAAAATGATAAAGTGTTCCCAGGTTTAACCCCCAGTGCCCAAAATACAAAACCAGGGAGGTCTGGAACCTGGAAAGTCCAAGCAATCAGGAATAACCGGCACACACTCAGGTTTAGTCTCAGTCTCTGCTGTTCTCTCACTTCTGGACCTTCCTTCCCTCTCTACTTTCTCTACTTGGGTTCATCAGTGATCTTCCAGCCAGTCATGGGGTAGAAGAGCTAGTGGAGTTATAGGAGGTAGGGACATGGGCTCCTCTGATTTTCTCCGGGCTCTGTATTTGGGGTAAGCAAGCACCTTAGCCATGGTTGTATAAGGATCAATACTAGTTCTGGAGTCTTTCTCCTTGAGACCTACATGTGCAGCCAACTCAGCAGCTGTATGAGGCTGGCTCTCTGTTATAGATCTTCACCTGGTTCAGTCCTTTTTATAGTGCTCCCTGGGTTTCCTTCTATAATTCACAGCCACTTCAGCATGGAAGCTGGGTTGATAATAATAAAAACAATGTGGCTGCATGATTTCTCCTTTCATCCAGCCACCATTGGCATGTCTCCTGAAGGTTCAGCCTCTGGTGGGTCAATCCCTGCCTTTCTCTTGACTGCTCTGCCCCAGCAGAGATTTCCTAGTAGTACCTTTGGAGATATCTACACTCCTTGTACTCCATATGTAACAAGAATTAGGGTAGAGCTCTGCCTCCTCCTACAGTTCAGTCTAGATTGCAGTGTGCTTGGCTGGTAATCCCTAGTGTTTACAGTTTGAAATTGGACTAATGCTGAGTGTGGTGGTGCACATCTGTAAAACCAGTGGCTTGGGAGGCTCAGGCAGAATTGCTGATTTGAAGCCAGTCTCAGCAACTTAGTAAGACTATAAACAACCTAATGAGACCCTGTATCAAAAACAGTAAAACGGCTAAGGTTGTGGCTTAATGGTACAGCACTTGCCTTGCATGTGTGAGGCACTGGGTTTGATCCTCAGCACCACATAAAAATAAATAAAATAAAGGTATTGAGTCCATCTACAAGTATATACTACTACTACTAATACTACTAAAGAGAGCTGGGGATGTGGAACAGTGGTTAGGCACTCCTGGTACCAAAAAAAAAAAAAAAAAAAATCGGAATAATTCCCCAGTTTGCAGTCTTTCTCTAGGAGAAGGCTAACACTCAGTATGTCAAAATTAGCTGTGTTATCAAGTCCTCTGGGAACAAGTAGCAATTGAGCACAAGCTAGATGCTGCTACATTCATATTTACCAGTTCAGCTTCTGGACAGAGTCCTGTCACTGGTGAGAGTTTAAGAAGAGTTACAAAAAGCGATTTCCCTATATGATGGATACCATGCTGTGGAAGCCAAGAAGTCTGGCTTTTCCATCTTTCTTGCACATGGAGAAGCCTGGAGTGCAGGCAAAATCTAGAAGCATCTGTGTCCTCCAGGACCTGTTGCGGCCCCATCTGTGGCCAGCCTCTGAGGTCTGGCTAAGTAAGGCTGCACCGCTAATCAATAGAGAATCTTTAATAATGCCGGCGTGATGGTGCAAGACAGCGACAGTGATGGAGACAGGCAGGAGGATCTCAAGTTCGAGGCCATCCAAGTCTCAAAAAAAAAAAAATGATTGGAGATGTGGCGCTGTGGTAAAGCGCCTCTGGGTTTAATCCCCCGCACCACTCCAAAACAAACAACAAAAAAACTTCCAATATTGACAACAGTAGGAAAACCCAGCTCCGTGAGCGAGTCACGGTGGGTCCAGAGCCAATGTACCACCGAGAGGGGAGGCCTCCGGGCTTCCTAGAGAGGACGGGCTCCAGCAGGACTTCCGGTTCGTGGCCAGTGGCAGGCCAAATACTCTCGCTCGGGAGAGTATGTGATCACTTTCTTTTCCAGTGTCTCATGGTCGCGTCTTCTGCTTCCCCGAGCTCCCAAGTCTGCGGCCAGCGTTAGCACCTGGGCCACTTGAGCCTTTAGCTCGATTTGCACCCAGCAGCATTTTGAGCATTTTGCCCTAAAGCTCTTATTGATCCAGCTGCCATCTGCCCACTTTGCGGAGGCGTCTTCTCTCGGTCGCGGTCAGAGGCATGGAGACGCATTCAGTACCAACTACTTGCTTCACCAACCCAAGTAGCCCCTCTGGGGCCAAGATTCTGTCTAGCTGGGACTCAGCTGTGGACAGTGAAGTGCAGTGGCGTGTTTTGAGAAGCTTTGTGCCTTGGCTGTAATTCAGTTATTTCTGGTGGCCTCGCCCAGAGACCGTGCCTGGATTTCAGGATGGCAGGATGTAGCAGCCGCTCATAAGAGGCAAACGATAAGAAAAGGAAGAATGAACTTCATGCAATTTGATCAAACTGGGTTGAGAAGCAGCTAGGTCGCTTCTCCACGGGTCCCAAAGAAGACATTACAATTTATAGAAACAAAAGCCAGAAGATAAACATATGTTGATGTTGTGCTTAGCTAGAGAATATGTCAATCTTTAATTATTCTTGGCCTCCGTCTTCAAAATGAGGAAGCTGATTTTCAGCATGAAGAAATTTAGAAACTGTTTCCCAGTGATGGAGCAGTTATTAGTTACTGGTGCAGTTGGGGCCAGGAGTCCCCTGTGTGGGAGGGCAATCATGATTCTCAGTGAACCAGTTACCGGCATGGGTATAAGGGGGTAGGCGGGTATGGGGGCTGCAAGAGAAGGCCAGTTTCATTCCTGGCTTAGTTCCTCACTTAGATCCAGAGGCACTTCCTTTTCCAAGATCAGATAGCAGTGCAGGAAGCCAGGGAAAGTCAAAGGTGCTCTGGACAGATGAGCTGATTTTAAGTCTGCCTTTTATTAGCGCTCAGAGAAATTCAGTACAATACTCTGGGTCCCACCTGGCTTTCCCTTGGCAGTACAGCTATGGCAGGTCTACATGTGTGTCTATGCACATGAATACGTATGATTTTTGGCGAAAGTGGTATATGGTAAAATGAGAGCATCAAGACCAGGAAATAGCTTTGGTTAGAGAGAGCACCTGTTTTTGAGAAAGTCCATTTAATTGGTGAAGTGGAAGCACATACCAGTAACATTTTCTGGGAACTGGGAATTCACATTACTATCTACAGATGAAAACTGAAACAGGAAAAGTCTTGTAGTGGAATACATTTGCCCTATAAATTGTGCATGTGGATTAGCATAAACCTGGGGGTGTTTTCTTTCAGCAGATATATTCTGAGCAGCCTCTGTGTGCCATGCCATGGGTTTTGTGAATATGATGGGAAATTGTGATAAGAATCATTTAAATTAGGGCTGAGGATGTGGCTCAAGCGGTATTGCGCTCGCTCGCCCTGGCATGCGCAGGGCGCTGGGTTCGAGCCTCAGCACCCCATAAAAATAAAATAAAGATGTTGAGTCCACCAAAACCTGAAAAATAAATATTAAAAAATTCTCTCTTCTCTCTCTTAACAAAAATCATTTAAATTATTAAATTCTGGGGCTGGGGATGTGGCTCAAGTGGTAGCGCGCTTGCCTGGCATGCGTGCGGCCCGGGTTGGATCCTCAGCACCACATACAAAGATGTTGTGTCCGCCGAAAACTAAAAAATAAATATTAAAATTAAAAATAAATAAATTATTAAATTCTTTGCAGACTCATTTATTTAACAGGTATTTATGGCATTCCTGCTTTGCATTAATAGTAACCAAGACAGTGTCTTCAAGGAACTTAAATTCTAATGGGGACACCAACAAAACACCATTGAGGCATAATATACAGCCAGGGACTGATACATGCTAACAGGGAAAGGTTTGTAAGGGAATGAGGAATGACTAGAGTGTGTGGAGTGAAAGAAGGGCTGCTCTGAGGAGGTGATATTTAAGCAGAATGAGGTGAGGGAGTGAATCAGTCAGAGAACAGCAAGGTGTGAACAGTCTTACAATGTTATGAGTTTTTAAGCAACAGAAAGAAGGTAAGTACTTCAAAAGTGAAAGGAACCAGGCAGGGCAGATAGAGATGAGGTGAGAGAAGCAGACACAGACCAGTTCTTGTGTGACTTGTGTACAACTGGGCAAGGCCTCCTTCATCCAGTTGGGAGGTCTCAGTGACCAGATGATGTCTGCACTGTGATCTAAAGACAGGGGAGAGAATTCCAGGTTGGTGAAAGAACAAACACAAAGTCCTTGGTAGGAACGAGTTTGACTTGTTTGAAGATGAAGTGGAGAAAGGAAGCCAGTGTGGTTGGATTATGCAGAGCCCAGGGAGAGAGCTAAGGCTGGCTGAAGCTGTAGAGAGATGCAGGGGTCAGATCATGTGGGAACTTAAAGGTCATAAGAAAGAGTTTAGGTTTCATCCTAAGAGTAGTTGG